TTTTCTTCCTTACAGAAAAAGGAAAGCAGAAAACTCTCAGTGTAAGAGTCAACAGCATCAAAGTGCAGCTTTTTGTTTGTTTGTTTGTTTCCCTGGATCCTGGGCTTTTTCTTCCATGCCAGTTGTTTTTTAGTCTATCTGATACTGACACTAAATAGAACTGTCTTAGCTATTTTCAAAAAGAAGAACAAAGTCTGTACCAGTGAGTTATGCCATAAAGAATGCCACAATAAGAGGTGTCTACAATACATGGGAAATGCCAACTGTACCGAAAATATCATGCCTTTGTTTTCTGCAGGCTCCAAATTTACACCTGTAGGATTTTTATACCAACAGTGACAGGCAGACACTTCATTTCCTTTAATCTCCAGTTGGATTTGTACTATACTGTTTTCTCCAAAGTCTTGCCCTATTTTCAGTAATAGCAGGGCAAAAATATCCAAACAGAATAAACAAGTTTTCTCTCCTTGAATCTCTTGAAGAAAGAGTTATGTCCCAACTGGGATGAAGGTACACAAGACTCAAAGAGAAAGGTAAGGAGTCAAGCTCAACAGATACAGTCTCGCAAAGACTGACTTCAGGTTTTGTGTCTGTGTGCTATGAGCTCCTTCTAGAATCAGGAGGGAGGGCATGTGGCCATGAAGAAAAATTAGAAATTTCCCCACAAAAGAAACATTAATATGAGAGAGGACATGCTATGAAAAAATTAAGAGTTACAAATCTGATTTCCCAATATGAGTCACATCAGAATGTGCAAACTTGCAGTTCTGTAACTGCTTGTAACTAAAACATCAGTCTAAGAGATGACTCATACGGATACTTTTCAGAATAGCATATCTTAGTTCTACTGATACTGACTAAAACAATTAAAATCTTCATTAGGCTATAGGCACACAGCTACCCCTGCAAATTTGACACTATTTATCTCATTTGTCATAACCTGATGACCTTCAGAAAGGCAAATGTGCACCATGCAATGGTTTTGTGTTGAATCTGTTTCACTAGAAACTGTTGCCATACAAACAATGTAACATAAGATATCATGAAGTTTATTGTGGCCTTTTATTCCTCTGTCCACATCATTCCTTCTGGTCCCCTACCAGAAACATGCTCTGCCTACTTTTTCATCAAAAAAGGGGATAAGAAAAGCCTTTTCTTTTTAAAAGCAGGATGCCAGTTGTATAGGCATTCCCAACAACAGGTTTTCTGCAAAACAGAATAAAAAAGAGCAAAGCTTCACACACTCAAACAGCACGTATAGCATTAATGCTTTGCTTTTTCCTTTAAGGATTTATTGTCTTAGGAGATACTGCCTCTCAACAGTTCACCACAGTAATGCTGCATAATGCTGCCAACCCAGCCAAGGCTTGGAGGAGAAATAAATAATGATAGTTCTTGAAACAGAGTTGACATGAATTGAGTTTACAGTTCCTCCCTTTGAGTCCTCATGTCCTCATTTCTCCACCTGGAAGTAATGACGTGGTGGAGCCTGTCGTGGGAACTGTTCAAGGGTGGCCAGTTCAAGGGTTATAATATATCTCCTTGTTCTACTTATAACACCATTCATGAGCTTGCTGGTCCAAACATTCACACACATTAAACATTCCACTAGGTAATTAAAGGCAAAGCGCTGCTGCAGTACACTTCTTTTTAAAAGGATAATCTTAATTTTGATAGATATTTATGTTTCAAGCTATTAAAACTGTTGGAGTTCAGGCAGCTTGTCATATTGATATTTCTGCTGAAAGTGGTGGTTGCATTGGAACCGGATCAACTGCAGTAGGACATTATTTCTTCCATTTACAATAAAATTAAGGACATGGTATTTGTACTCCTTGTTCCAAAATACTCCAAAAATCCAAAACAGATCTCCACAGGGGCTATAGTGCATTACTGATGCTTCAATATCCAGCTAATATTTCCTAAAATATTCAAGGTATCTGGGTTAGAATTGGAAAATGAAACAAAGAAACATCCATGACTAAAAGACAGAAATACTAACTCAGCCCATCTCCCACATACAGGAATTCAAGGCAAGGCTTTTGTTCCTCCAGGTTTTTTTGTTCCATGTGTTCCTGAAAAGTTAGACAAAAAAATCAGAACAGAAGAACACACTCTTAATAAAATAAAAATGCCAGCTACTTGGCCATACCTTTCCCCAGCTTCATTGCTGCACAGAGAACAGCAGAACAGGATTAATTTGTGGCTAAAAGCACCTCTTCAGTCTTTTCTCAGGTCTGCCACAGACTTCCTCTTTGACCTAGAAGAAAATATACTTAGTAGGACAGGTCACCTGCTGTGTGTTCCAGTTACTTAAGTAAAAGGGGGAAAAAAAGGAGGGAGGCATGGGGAAAGAAACTTCTTCTGTTCCTATGACATGAAGGAAATTTGAAGCTGAATTGAGCTTTTTATTTTGCTTAAAGCACTCTGGAAATCTCTGGAATAAACATTCTTTAATGCAAGAAAAACTCCAGATGAACAGTTGTTTAGGCAGGTGTTAAAATCAATAAGACCTCCACAGTACCCATTGTAAAAAATGTATACTACACAGTTACAGTAAAAAGCAGTGTTATAATGGCTGGTACAGGGAGTGAGAAACAAATATTAAAGGGTCTTCCTTTGCTCTTTTGTCTGCAGACATCTCAGGGGGTTCAGCAATGTTTTACCCAGATGCTTCTTCTTCTGGAAAGTGGTATCAGGCCCTCTTACAGCTCTTCAGTCTATAGAACATATGCAATGATATATTACAGTCATAAAGAAAGGCCTTGGTCAGTATGTGCAAGAGCTGGTGGGGGACTTGGATGTGAGGGACCAGCCTTCTTCAACAGCAAGGGCAGAAGAAGGCAGAACAACACTCGGAAAATTAGTTGAATGTTCTGGATCCCGTTCCCCACCCACGACGTGGGGCGGCCCAGTTCTAGTTCCGTTTCCATCTGAAGAACCATTGCGACGCTTTGAAGGATGGGGAAAGGGAACTCCAGGGGTTTCTCAGGGGTCTTTTCAGGCCCTGAGCCTGGAGGGGAGAGGTGCTCCCCCTCCCCCCTCTGCACGTGACCCCATGGCCTGCAGGGATACAGGACACCGGGCGTGGAGAGGAGGCAAGAGAGAGTTTATTGTTGGGGATGTTACATTTATAGGGTTTAGGAGGATTCACAGAGTAACCAATTAGAAGTCTCAAGGGGCTTAGAGGAACACCCAGTCACAGGAAGAGGTTAACAAAGGCCAGTGGGAAACACCTCAGGACACCTTCCCAGGACATTCCTGCATGGATAACACATGTTGCTGGGAAGAAGCATGTGTTTGCAAAGAGACCACCAAAAGCCATTTTAAAACCTGTTTAAACCACAGTTTTCCCATATAATGCAGGTTTAGTGCTACAGAATGTCCTACCACTTCAAGAAGGGAAAATGTCAGCTGAACCTCCCCTGGCTTTGTAGTGTTTATTAAAGTCTTAACTGGCCTGACACAACTTCATTTAGGAAAAGATAACTGATGCATACACTGCCTTTTTGCTCACAGGGAGGGAAGCAAACAAGCAAAGAATTCCCAAGAAAGTGGAATGATTGAGGGGAGAAAGGAATGATCGATAAGAAGAAGAAAAAAAATTCCATGGATACAACCTTGCTTACAACTGCCTACACATATTTTTGAATTTTATCTTGCCTTCACTTAAGAATAAGATGTATCACACTTATTCCAAGCAAAAGGTTAGGATACAATAGCTGCCATTCTGACTTACTCCTACAGCAACCAGTTCATGTAGCCATGTCCTTAAATACATTCCAGTATTACTGTCACCATCCAAGGCAGCACAGAACTGCAAAATTTCTTCAACTGTAATTAAACAGATCATTTCCTTTTGTGTAACTCTGAAAAGCAATAAGGTGCTATTAGCAGGTGGAAGTTCTAATGCCAGTTTATTGGTAGCACTGACTTGATACCTGCTGATAGTTACTGAGAAGGCCTGAAGGTTAAGAGTTGGTGGGGATGAAGCAGCTTGCCAGGTGTTTTCCTTGTTGTTGATGGAGTGTAGCCAAATGAAATTATCAGTTTTAAAACTAGCCACTAGCAACTGGGTTTCAACAGGGAAACATTTTCATAAAAAAACAAAATTTAAAAAAAATAATTTTTTCCTGTCTGTTGCTGCAACAACTGTCACTTAACTTGTAGTAATTAGATGCAGTAGCAGCCAGAATTCCCTTTGATTTCAACACCTTCCTCAAAAAATAGAAGCACAATGACAGTATAGCACTTTAAAGTAATATGGATCTCTTCAACAAAATAAAGTTTCACAGCTTTCTGAGTTTTGTAAACAATATTCAAGGCAGCAGACAGGTGTTAAAAATTTCCTAGAGGGCTTTTCCTAATTCGTATCTGTAGAGTTGTAATAAAATAACAAAAATGTGATTAAATATGAGAAAGGCAGCATGCACATATAATAAAAGAAATGCATACTGTTGTTTTGGATTGAATACACAGGTATTTCGTCCAAAGTAAAGCAGATGGCAAAACAAACACGTAAGCATCCACTTTATCTTGCAGATCCTGTGGTTCTCTGATTACTTTTATATTAGGGATATTTCAGCACATCGGTAAAATAAGGGAGATGAAAGACAGAGGTGACAGATTCATGTTCCACAAATTCACTGTCAAAGGAAAAAACAACCAAAATTATCATAAGCACAGCAGTGCCCTTAAAAACACATCCATCGAAACCAAGTAAAAGATATTACCTGAGTATGCAGGTTATTCCCTTGTAGTTCCTCCTATTTAGGACTATACCCTAGCCAGAGAGTTCAGCAAAACATGACTCCAGCCTTTTAGGGTTGTCCTTTTGAACATATATGTGTCTATATACACATATACGTGCATGGGGGCACGTAAACACAGATGCACATAGAATATACACACAGATATATATTTTCATCAGTCCTTAACCTCAAAAGCCTTTTGCCACGAAAGCATCAACAGGGAACCTTAGAAATTAAGAAAACTTCAGGTGGAAGTGTGAAAAAGGAAAAAAACAGCTTTTTATTAACAACATCTGAACAAACAAGAAATGGTGCAATCAAAAACTTTCAGGAGAAACAAAACAAAGTCCCAATTCCCCGGGTGGGGGGGAAGAAAACCGCAAACCGGAGCGTGGGGGAGGGGGGAAGGCAGGGCAGTTCAACAGCTGCTCGCAGCCCCGTGCGCCCGCAGCAGCCAGCAGCCGACGGTGTCACAGCCAGCCACGGAGTCCTTTCTCCTACAGGCAGTCCGGAAAACAGAATACCTCGCTCTGAGATGGGTCAGTCTCTCTCTCTCTCAGTCGTCCTCCGCGAGGTGTCCTGTGGAGGAAAAAAAACTTCCTCTCAGGAAAAGAAAAGGAGGCGGCCGAAATCGGGCTCCCCGCGGAGCAGATCCACGAGCCCCTGAACAAAGAGCGCCCCCTGCTGTCCCCCGCAGCAGCCGCGTGCCCGGAGAGCGCTCCCCCCGCCCGGCGCTGCCCGGCGCGTGCGGCTTCGCGCCGTTTCCCCCTCAGCCCGGAAGAAACAGAGGCGGGGGAGGCATTGGGGAAAAGTTCGACGTGTCTTTTCCAACCTAGGACAGTGCCTCCTAAATGCTTAACTCACTCCTGAAATTAGTAAAGATTTTGCAGTGTTTCTTTCTGTTTTGCAAATATTAGCAAGGCTTAGTCCATTGCTATAATAATTGCTATCATATATCCGTCTTCTGGAGGAGCCTCTGTTCTTCCTCAGTAAGCAACTTTTTGTTATTAAATTTGTTTGAAATTCAGCAATAACATTATACAATGCATTTTTATTAACATACTAGCCAAGAAATTATTCCAGAACATAACAGCTTTTCTGAACTGGATTTAAATTATCATCAATCACTCAATAAACTATAACAGAATTTCCCCTTTCTGCACATTCTATCAAACTCCACTGCCTGTTTTCCTAACTAAGGCTTATGGTGGCCAAAAGGCATCTCTGAGAAACCTACACTGTCAGACTTGGACATGCAGGATATGGTATGTGCTTTAAAAGACAAATTTGTTCTTGGAGTTTATGCCCCTCTCCCATTATTTCATTTTTCTTCCACACTGCAGTCTTCACAAGAATAGCATATATCATGATTTTTCAAAATGCATTTTGACATATTGATCAAAAAATAACAGCAACCAGTTTTAGCAATTTACAGGTACATGTATTTATTTTTCTCACTATTTGCTTGTGTTCCTCTGCTCAGTTTTTTTCCAGTTTTTTTTTGCTTTTTCCCTCACTGTAATCCAGCACCATAATATCCTTCTTTCCATTCCCATAAAAATTTTGTTTGAATTGCCCAGGAACACAATTGGCTGTGCAGCAACCCTACAGTTACTTGACAGAGACACAGCACTCTTCCCCAGCTAATCCAGAAATCATTCTGACCTGGGAAGATGATGGATATCCAAAGAAGTGTGAAATGTGGTTTGCAGCAGCCTACCTTCAGGGAGATGCTAAAATGGCCAAGGATCTACCTATTGTGCAGTCCAGGACAGCTATTCTGAGGCCCTTGACAAACATTGCCCTGATTTAAATTAATTCTGTCTAATTTGATATAATGTTAAGTCAGGACAAATGAGGTAATTCTGTACTTACCCCAATTACTGTGCCATTTCTGGGCAAGGTACAGTCTTGTTTCAGCCTCTTCATATCAAAATAAGATTAAAAGCATATAATTTATCATTTGGAATTATCACAACTTGCAATTTATAGCATATATGCCTCAGTTTCCGTTGGCATTTAAATTTAGCACATGGACCTGTTTATATTAACAGAGGCCCACAAAGTAACAGAAATTATGTTAGATAATTAGTTACAAGTCATCCAGACTAGAAGAACGGGACTTTCAGAAACAGTCAAGAGAATACTCTACTCTCTTGAAATAAGAGGACTAAGTTTTCTTTTACTAAACTTCATGGCACTGGTCTCCAGAGAAATTAATTAGACCAACTTTAATGAACGATTTCAAATCTTTCCTCTGTAGGACACAGGGGACCACAAACAACAGCAAGGATGGATCTGTTTAAAAATAAATGAATATTTACGTATATATATTTCCAGACAAGCCCAATTACAATTTACAAAACATTACAAAGTGAGAAACGGGAGGAAATGTAACAGATTCAGTACAGTTAGATCTAAGTAAAGAATCTGACAGACAGCTTCACAAACATCTTGCATAGATAAATTCATTCAACTAAGCTTGGATATGTACAGAAAAGCTACTAAAGGGTATGGTCCAAAGGTGATAGAAAAGTGTCATGGGGAATTTCCTGGACAGTTTCTTTTTTGCGATGTTTTCTAAACTTTGCTAGCAAAAACTGAGTTTTAAGAGTTTATTTGACAGTACAGGTAAAGAAGATGAAAGTGGAAAGGGCTGAACAAGATCTAGAAACAACATAGCAGATCAACTATGCAAGAAAATTAAGCAGCACACAGGATTTTTAAAGCTCTGTAAAGATACAACTGTCATTTATAGCATTGTGCTCCTTGTCTTTTTTGTTTGTCTCCTTCAACTGGTACAGCTTGTCTTTTAGACAGTCTTGTCTTGTTATTTTGCTGTTTGCTTTATTCAGTTTCTAGTGAAATAGGTCCCTGAATGGCTGAGATTCCTCATGGTATTACTTCAGTATAAATGTTAAACAACAATATTATTGTTATGCTATATAGTTGATCCATATCAAGGGTTTTGGAGTTGATTCATTCATCATTGTCAGGCAGGCAGTTTAAATTCCATTCAAGCCCATATGCAACAGCCCAAGAATAATGTGATCACTTTTTAAGGGTGTGAAAGGAAAAGTGATCTTGGGAACAATCTGAAATGAACGAAGATCACTTAGTAACTGAAGTCAAACTGGAGCTCAACAACTTAGTCCAAATTACTGTACTTATTGGCTGCATCTATGGATTAGTCTGCAGCTCCAAAACTTGTTTGCAGGGCACTCCTAAGGCTGGTATAGGCCACCTGTCTGGCATTGCCAGGAGTGAAACACTGGGGACAGAGTACTTGTGTCCCCCTGGACCTAGTGCCACATACCTAAGCCAAAAGGGACATAGTGACTCCTGCCACAGTAGCTAGTGAGATTTTGTAGGCAGCTTGGAGACATGGGGTGTTGATTTTGGGTTCTTCTCAATGAGATCCTGAGACCTTACTGACTTGCAACTCAGTGGCAACGACAGAAAAACTGCCTTGCCGGAGGGGACATCGGGAGAGAACATCTAATTCAAGCACATTCCTCTGGGAAAAAAAATACTGAGCTCTGTAGCAGACTCTCTGATTCCTCAACCATCCAGCAGATTAAGACTGAAAGATTTCATGAGGCACTTCCTAGAGACCACAGACTTTCTTTGTTGTGTGGATGTTTCTTTCTACACTCACATTAAAGCTTCAGCGCTTTTTCTGACTTCAGCACTCCATTTTCTGCCCCGCAAGGACATGTATACCTGAACTTTTCTTCTGCTCTGCATCATTTCCAACTGAACTAACCTTTCAGGAAGTCCTTCTGCTTTACCCAGTCAGCATATTCTATCTGAAGTGGCATATCTACCATCAAAATCAAATGCATCCAGATGCATTAGGCTCCAACACAAACACCAGACCTAAACCAGAAGGAAAGTTGACAGTTAATCTGAAGCAAGAACACAGAGCTTGATCTGGCTCCACAAATTAGTGTAGTACTTTGGTATGGCAGTTTAATTGGGAAAAATACTATGGGGAAAAAAAGCCTCATGTTCTGTGAAATCCCAAGGGATTCTTGCAAGTCTGAGCATTCAGCTTGTATTTTCTCTAAATGCCAAATGAGATGAAATTCTGAGTATCATGTTTCTCCAGGGATGGTTTAGATTGGGTATTAGGAAGAATTTCTTCATGGAAAGGTTTGTTAGGCACTGGAACAGGCTGAGTCACCATGTCTGGAGGTATTTAAAAGACATGTAGATGCAGCTCTTAAGAGCATGATTTACTGGTGGACTTGGCAGTGTTAACATTTGACCTGATGATCTTAAAATTCTTTTCCAACTTAAAAAATTCTGTGCTTGTATCTGACTTGCACTGTACTTCTTATTTGGAAAACTCTCTTGACTGTATTCCTGGTCAAAAACAAAACAAACAACTTTGCAAAGAATGGTGAATTTTTTACAAAGTTCTTCACAAGAAAAACCATGATAAATACAGCTTAAGATATCACTAAGCATTAGTTATGATTGTGTGCTATAAAAAATATAGTTAGAACAGACTTTTAAAAGCGTGACTTCAAAGTGTAGTGTTTCCTCTGTATGGTACAATGAATTTGATGTAGTAAGGAAGTTTTGCCTCTTTAAAAAAAGAAATAAGATTTTTTTTCTCTCTCTATGGCAACAGTTTTGTCTTGTTTTTTCCATTTTACCTAACAGCTGTGGGGTCAACAAACATTTCCCAGAGAAAAGTATTTTCTTTATTTCTAATTGCTACACTTGCTCACTAGTTGCCTTCACTTAGGAAAGAGCAGCAGCTGAGCACTCAGCAGTCCATGAACCCCTGCATCTTTCCCATTGTGTGCTGGAATACCCAAGGGCAGGAAAACAGGCCTCTCCAACGCCTGACTAATGCATTCAGCTCGAAAGGAACACGGGTGTTGTCACTGGCCTCTGGAATCAGTTTGCCAGAAACGGGGGTGGGAGGAGGAGAACAGAGCAAAACACAAGGTAAGGGGGAGAGAGGGAGGCAGAACACACTGTGCTACTGCTCAGGGGCACAAGAAATGCAACTGTGTTGTGTTTGTTTACTAACAAAGATGTCAAATGCTTGTTCGATGCTTGGGAATTTTCATATTCTGTTCAGGTATCTGACTGCACTTTGTCTTATGACTGAGGAGCTTGCTGAGAGCTTAAGGGTGCAGGTTTTCCTTTTTCTTTTTTTGGTCTTTAATTTTGCTGACTTATGCCTAGAACCAGAAGTACCCTCACAAAATTGTTGTTAATAAAGGCATAATATTTTTCAAAGTAGCCCAAGAGGCTTCTCCTGAGAACTACACACAACCTTTGCATATTTTTGATGGCAGCACAGAAACCAAGCCCCCATAAGACAGGCAGTGATGCTGCTAACATCACCCTTCCACCCCATTGTAAGAAGTGAACTGGAAGTGAAGTAGTTCAGTCTTTCTGCTGAGACACATTTGGGAAGGGTTTTAAAGCTATTGGGTGATGAGAGGGGGTGGAGAACAACAGTATTAAGATAATCAACTCCCTTTGAAAATTTCCACACAAATCTTTCTTCAGTTTCATGTATCCTTTCTTATCTTTTTTCTTCATCCAGGTAGCACTTACCTCAAAGAAACTCTGAATGTAAAAAGCAGTGTTGCTTTGGAGTCACTACTGCAAATAACCTGACAGCTATTTTTTATACTCCTCTCACTGTCCTTAGTGTTTCCATCATAGTAAAATGTAAGAGCTCACAGAGATTTCCACAGCTCCTGTATTAATTTCCTACATCCCACTGAATGTTTGGTCTTTAGTTCAAATGCTGCACATTCTTATGCAACATTACTGTGTGAACTACTGGTCTTTAGCTGCTACCACTAGAATTAATATAAAATATGCTTTCACATTTTCTATTCAATTGGGAATTCTCTGTTATGCAAATTACGCTTAAAAAAAAAAAGGATATTAACTGGTGAGAGCTATTATACCAACAAAGTTTTACTGTTTTATTAGTAATTATAGATAGTGTAAATAAATGCAGGATGCAGGATCTGACACCACTGAAGCTGTAATAAACTAAGCATAAATGTCATAGTAACTTCTGAGGCTTATTTTCATTAATCACTATTTGAATTATTGATAGCACACTAGATCACTTTGATCCTATAGTACACATAGATGGTTTCACCAGCCAACATCCTTACCACTGGGAAGGCAAAGAACATTATTTACTAGCAGACTATTTACCAAAAAAAATGTGCCCACTACACATTTCACAAAGAAAATACAACACATTGAATTTTCAGGATTCAGAAATTAAATAAGAAGGATTTCCTGATTCCTGCATTTTTACTAATCCTTTGAAGAGAAACATATAACAAGACAAAATAACATAATCAGAAAACCAAGTTTTCTTCCTACTAGTCCTTTCTAATGGCCAAATTTCTCTGCCAGAGATGCTTTTTGCTCCTGCTTCAGATCCTTTTGTTCTTCAAAACTTTTTTCTGTTTTTATTTTTTGAGCTTATGGAAGAAACACCATCCCTGTCTCTCACTGTGATCGGGGTCAGTTGTGCATCAAAACAGCAGCCAGGAGGGATATGTCCTGACCACCACAGGCCTGAACAAGAGCCTTAATTCTTCTCCATCCTCGGATCATATTGTAATGTTCTTTTGACTGATGTGTGCCATCGTGTGGCCAAAGGCTGCAACAAACCATACTTGGCTCTTCTGCAATTTTAAATGAGATGAAAGAGAAACAGGAAGAGCAGTGATTGCAGAAATGCATTCATCCAGATCTGTCTCTCCAGCAGGAGCTCAGGATTCCTCAAGTGACACCGCTCTGCCTATTCCTGCATGGCTGCTAGCAAGCTGAATTAAGGGTTGTAATCTTTGTACCTCTGGTGAATGTGTTGCTGCCACAAAAATAAAGCCCTAATGTGTCTTCAGAAAGCTGTGCATTTCTAAAAGGTACCTTTATATCCTGGAAAATCAGGGAAGGTCTCCATCCTCCTCTACCACCACTGAGAAGGTGCTGACTGACTAGCCCTCCAAATGAATCAAGCTGATGAGCTGTCCGGAGCAAACTGCCAAGGGCCCAGAACTCAGGGGTCACCTTTACACACAGCAGCACAAGAAAATTACATTTTCAAAAGCATTTAGACACTTAGACTAAAATAGCAAATCCGGTCATTTTCATGAGTGTCGCTTAACACAATTTCACGGCCTCGTGGCCTTTACTGAGTGGCATTTTCTGCTCCTTCCTGTGGACAAGGCTGAGGGGAGTGATTAAAGCTGGAAGGGCTGATGCTGCAGACACAGGGGGTTGGGCTGCATGGTGCTTAGAGTCACAGCTCTGGGTGTTACCAAAAACTGACAGGCATAGGACAGTCTTTGTGTGCTCACAAGGTCAAGCTGCCCGACCTCAAATTGTACCACACTTCAGGGATGGCCAGCTGCAGAGTCACCTCTCCTCAATTCAAGTTTATAAGTATTGGAGGCTGAAAGTAAGGCTTGTAGGAGATAAGAAGAAGAAATACAGACAGCCTGTACAAAATGAAGGACCTGAGCTTTATTTAAGCATAGAGCTTAGAGGCAGACAAGAACATAAAAATTATTTTGAATGACATCATGTGTACCACATGTGACTAAATTTTACCCAGTTCCCAACAAAACAAGCCAAATAACTTCTGTAGAGCTAAAGGGTGCTATCTAGAGATTCATTCAGTCATTTTAAAAAAACTCAGCAACTCAGAGGCCAAACATTTCTCTTGGGAGTTTGCACCAGTGACAACAATATGCACAGTTAAAACTATATCTTATGGCTTCATTTGGGTTTGTCTGGAATCAGCTTCCAATGGCTGATCTGCTGTGTGTTTCTGTGTTAGTTTGAAGAACCCATTACTACCCAGCAATTTCTCTTCTCAAAGGAATTTACATTAGCATCGAGTCATCCCACAGTAATCTTTTTGATACCTACACAGGCTGAACTGGTTTTGCATTTCTCATTCATAAAAGTTCTCTCCAGTCTCTGGATGATTTTGGAGACTGTTTTCTACACTGGCTGTAGTTTATAACATTGGATCATAAAACACATTTTTTCCAGAGCTAAGGAAAATGCTTCAACAATGCCTTTGCCAATGTACTACACATAGATTAAAATCCTTTTTTCCCCCTCTCCTACTCCATAGTTTCTTATCAACAGCCCCAGATCTCAGCAGGCCTTTTTTGACACAACCTTCCATTGAAGGCTTGAGATTGTCCGATGCCAACACCTCAGCTCTTTTTGACTTGTGAGGACACAGTTCCCTATTTCAAAGCTTCCACCATGTTCACTCTTTCTAAATCATTAGTACTTTACACTTTGCTGAACTGAAATCCATATTGTTTGAATGTGAATTCTGTGTGAGTGGAGCCTTAGTAATCTTGATTTGCAAAACTGTCATTTGCCCTCAACATTTAACATTTTGATGCCCTATGTGTCACTTAAAAGTTTTATAAACCTTAAGGGTGCAATTACTCCCAGGTGCTGGGTGTGGATGTTGAAAACTGTGGACCACACCGAGATGCACCAAAAATGCCACTCAGGTTTTGGGTAGTGGCCTCCCACTGCCAACTACTTCCACATCTAGTAAGTTCCCAATACATTAAAGACACATTGACAAATCCAAAGACTTTTCCATCTTCAAGCAACCATGATATTATGTGAAATTCCACATCCTTGTCTCAATCTATTGATGGATATCAATAAAGTCCTTAATCAAAAAGCCATAAATCTGACTGAAATTTTCAAAAAACTCACCTCTACTTGCATTTACTTTTATCTAAATCTGTCAATTCTGTATAAATCAACTCTCTGTCTTTAGCCCAATCCTGGACCTGAGAGAGATATCATAGTAACATGAATTTCCCTGTCCAGTTCACTGAAGTCATCTTGAAACAGGAATTCTGCAATTTCCCCAATAACCCAAAATCAAGAGATACCACAAAATACAGTTTCATGTAACTGTTCCAGAATGGACTTTTAACTGAAATGATCCTTTTCTATTGTAGAATTGAGAGATTGCCATGTGTAAGAGTTTATTTATTTTTTTTATCCACCAGTGTTGGTTCAGTATTTTCTATTACATTTTCCTTTCAAATTTCCGTGTATTTCTTCTCAGCTGTGGGAAATCAGCCCCTTGAGGAAGGCCAGGGTGGATGCTGCCATTCAGAGAGATCCTCTTTCCTTTCTGAGTTTCCATAGGCAATAGTTAGTAACATTTATGTATTTGCCATCTAACAGGCTAAAGATTAATATTTCTTAACCTGTTATCCTGAAGTACAAAAATGCATTTACTGGGTCCTGAGTGCAACACATATGAGATAGATAAAAATTAAATTCTAGCATTTTAGAAATTCTAACAAAAATCCACTACTGGCTGCACAACACACTCACACCTCTGGACAATCAGCTGGATAATCACTGCAGAATAGAAACCATACCAGAATAGAAACCATTGTGCAACAGGAAGGCTATGATGTAGTCGCCATCACAGAAACGTGGTGGGATGACTCACATGACTGGAGTGTTGCCATGGATGGCTACACGCTCTTCAGAAAGAACAGGCAGGGTAGGAGAGGTGGAGGGGTGGCTTTATATGTTAGAGAGTCTCTTGACTCTGTTGAACTTGAGATCAGCAATGATAAGGTTGAGTGCCTGTGGACCAGAATCAGGGAGAAGACCAACAAGGCTGACATCATCATAGGTGTCTGTTACAGACCGCCCTATCAGGATGACGAAGGGGATGAAATATTCTACAAGCAGCTGGCGGATGTCTCGAAATCGTCAGTCCTTGTCCTTGTGGGTGACTTTAACCTGCCGGATATTTGCTGGGAGCTCAATACTGCAGAGAAGAGGCAGTCTAGGAAATTCCTGGAGTGTATAGAGGACAATTTCCTTCACCAACTGGTAAATGAACCTACCAGGGGTAAGGCCCCGCTAGACCTGCTGTTTACAAACAGAGAGGGGCTGACGGGAGATGTAGTGGTTGAAGGCCGCCTGGGAAATAGTGACCATGAAATAATAGAATTTTCAATACTCAGAGATTCAAGGAGAAACAACAATAAAACCTCTACGCTGGACTTCTGGAGGGCAGATTTTGACCTATTCAGAAGTCTAATCCAGAACATACCCTGGGAAACAACCCTTGAAAACAAGGGGGTCCAGGAGAGATGGATGTGCTTCAAGCAGGAAGTTTTGAGTGCACAGGAACAGGCCGTACCGATGTGCCGAAAGGCAAGCCGTTGGGAAGACAACCAGCTTGGTTAAACAGGGAGATTCTGAAGGAAATCAGGGATAAAAAGAGAGTTTACCGACTGTGGAAGAAAGGACTGGCTACTTACTAAGAATTCAGGAAGACAGCTAGATCATGCGGAAAGAAAATCAGGGATACAAAAGCGCAATTTGAAGTTAAATTAGCCACTTCTGTTAGGGATAACAAAAAGTCCTTCTATAAATACATTAATAACAAAAGGAGGGGCAAAGAAAACCTCCATTCTTTGAGGGACTTGGAGGGAAACATAGTTAATAGAGATGAGGAGAAGGCTGAGGTACTGTCAGAGACTGAAATGGTTAATGATTTATGCATTCTAGGAGACTTTTGCAGGCTTTTGACTTGCATGATACCTCTGATGAGCAGTCGGGCCCCTCCCTCCCTCCAGTGCTGAAGGTGTGAAGCCCTGAAAAGGCAAGAATCCGAGCTCGCAGGCTTTTGACTGTTGATACATCTGATGAGCAATCAGGCCCCTCCCTCCCTAAAGGCGGGAACCGGGCGAGACACAAAAAAAACTCAACACAGACCCAGGAGTTGTTGGAGGCTCGAGGCATGGCCCGTGATATAATAACTCATAACTTCTTAGAGTATGGGGGCTTCCCCCCCTTCACCCCCAGCAGATCAAGGCCACCACTTCAACTGACAGACATGGAAGCATCGCTGGACCCCGTGGGCGGTGACTATATACATCTGTCCACTCTCAGCTTTTCTTTCCCTTACTCTCCCTTGCTCTTATCCTACCTTTCTCTCCCCTATGCATTTTCTTTCCCTCCCCAAAGGTTATCTCTGTGTCACATTGTTGTATGACAGCACCCAAAC